CCCTGGGCAGCCCATTCCAACGCCCAACAGCCCCTTCTGCACAGAAATCCTTCCTCAGAGCCAGCCTGACCCTGCCCTGGGCAGCTTGAGGCCATTCCCTCGGGGCCTGGCGCTGGGGCCTTGGCTCCAGAGACTCATCCCCCCTCTCTGCCCCCTCCTGGCAGGGAGTTGCCGAGGGCCAGGAGGTCTCCCCTCAGCCTCCTCTGCTCCAGACTGAACCCCCCCAGTGCCCCCAGCCGCTCCCCAGCAGACCTGTGCTCCAGACCCTGCCCCAGCTCCGTTGCCCTTCTCTGCCCACGCTCGAGTCATTCAATGGCCTTTTTGGGGTGAGGGGCCCAACACTGAACCCCCTCAGCGAGGGGCGGCCTCCCCAGTGCCCAGCCCAGGGCTCAGATCCCTTCCCTGTCCCTGCTGGCCATGCTAGTGCTGATACAAAGTTCCTTGGCTGTTCCTTAGAGAGAGGTTTCAGGAACGGGAATTCAAGCCAGCAAACCCAGGACAGACCATATGGCATAGCAAGGAAACCCTGGAGAACAACACAGAGACCAGAATCCCCTTTGGCATGTAAGTTAAGGAGAATCTGTTTCTTCATCTAAAGTTAATGTAAAATAAACTCAAAGTTGCAAGTCATCCCTTCTGCCCTTGGAGTAAAATTAGCTTTTTCAGGAGGAAATCTTTTCAAAGCTGGTGGAGTGACTTCACAAAAAACATTAAAAGGGGGATGGGAGGAGCCACATCCCCCTTATTGTTTTTTAGATCTCCAACAGATGGAAGCTCTGCATGTTTGTATACTGTCTGTATCTATTTATTACACATAAAATTGATCTGTGTTTTTGTGTAAATGTTAAGACTAAGGCAAACGCCCCATAAAATATAAGGTAAAACTGTAATATATCAAGAAATTCAGCCCTCCCAACACTGAAATATGAGTCTTTTCAGGAGGAAAAGTCACAGTTCCCTGCTGTGAAATTGTCTCCCTCTCCCAAACATCTCAAAGTCACAAGAGGGTAATAGCATAAGGCTCTACTGGAATAAAGAGATCCCAGTTCAAGCACTACCGTGGTGGCATAACACACTCTCCATTGTGTAAAAGCATATCATAGAGCTTTCATTGTACAAGCATCCCATCACTCACATGTGAAGAAATTGCACTGCAGGTTTCAGCTGGATGAGAACAAGCTTCAGTCAGAAGAACAGTCAGCTTTAAACATTGACCTTTCTCCCTTTGGATCTTTTATTTTTTTTTTTTTTTCAACTTGTTATCAGCCGAGTCCTGACTATCTGCAAGCAAGCAAAATTCTTGGCCGTATCTGTGTTCCGGGGTTTCAAAGCTTCAGTAACAGCTTGTCCCTGTGACTTCTTTTTGGGCAATGAACTTGAAGCAATTGCTGATCCACTGCCAATCTTTAATTTCTCTGTTTTCCTGTGTTTCAGGCAGCTCCAGAGCCTGTCCATCGGCAGGACATGTTCCATAAGAGGCCTGGACATGGAGTCTGCCGATCCTGACCAGTTTGCTGATGTTGTGGGGTTCACACAGCCACAATCAACCCACCGAACACATTCTTACCCTTAAACTCGGATCTGCTGATGCCTGTAGCTGATGCCTGCAAGCAGCTGGTGCTAATTGCTCTAAGGGGCCTCAGACAAGAATGCACCCAAGGACATAATTTTTGCAACTGTGCTGGTACAACTCGGGGAGGGCAGAGAAACCAGCAGACACCTGTGGGAGCCAAAGATAAGAAAGCTGAGAAACTTTACAGACGGAGCAATGAGCCAAGACAAGGCCATATATGACAAAAATCTCAAGAGTTCATGGGGAGGACGCTGAACTACCTCTTCAACAACCACTAGGGACAACCCCAGACCACCGAAACCCCCCACAGAAGCCCCCCCTCAGAGACCCTTCCACAGATTTTAGTACGTTTGCGCAATATATTAATATATGCATTAGATTCTCTGGAAATAGGTGTGTACTTTTCGATAATTACCTTAATATTCACTTATTGTATATGTGTGCTTTTGTCGATTGGCATGCTCGGTTAGTGGGATCCCCCGTGCATCGAGCGCTGCCATACAGACTGGCTGCCGGCTAAAACTTCAAACTAAGTCTTAGGGGGTTCTTCTCTTCTGAGACCGAATTCACGGTAACACTTCCTTTTGCTTTGCTTTTAACTCAAAACTTTTTCACTGTGGCGCCCCTTTGTGGCAGCCTCCGTTTCCACTGGACGGCACTTCACGAGGGAACGAAGGGCTCCAGGGGCTGAGCGCTGTGGGACTGATACGCGACAGGGACGTGAGGTTTCTCACGGCTGCCCGGCGCTGGCTGCGGGCCGGTAGCGCCGGCACAGCCGGTGCTGGAAGCAGGGGGGGGAGCCAGGCCCGCCTCCCGGCGCCATGACAACCCACCGCCTCCCTCAGCCTTCCCGCCATGCAGCGGGCGCACGTCTCTCCCCGT